TGGACTTCACAACCTACTCTAATTCTCAAGTACACCTTCTCATCCCCTTAACTCCCATGCACCCTAAACCCTAAACCCTGAACCCTAAACCCTAAAACCCCCGTAAACCCTGAACCCTAAACCCTAAAACCCCCATAAACACTCAACCGCGTTGAGGGGCCCTCGTTCTTTTTTTCCTGTGAATCCGGCCTTCTCCTGCTCTTGGCTTTCCGTACTATTCCTGCTCGTTCTCCTAGGGTATAGGGTTTAGGGTTTAGGGTTTAGTCCAGAGCCACAGTTTAGGGTTTAGGGTTTAGGGTTTAGGGGCTACGGAACATATGCTTAGTAATGGCTAGGGACCTACTACTTAGGTAACTGGAGCCCGATGGTCTGCTATGAAACTAAAGATTCTCACGACAAGTTTCACAACTTCTTCCAAGGAGCCGGACTGAACAAAGACACCGCTTGGGAAAATCAGCCAAAAAACCTCGTGAAACCCAAATCCCCTGCCATGCAGCCAGGATGTCAAGTTGGTTTTGGTACCCCGTTTGTTCTTGCTCCTTCGACTTCGGACCGTGTATGTATGTATCGCTATGCCGCTTTTTGACTACATTTTTATTACTTGTCGTCTAGCTGTGTCCAAACTGCGACGATGGAAGCGACCTCGATTACTGCAAGGACAACATAGGACAACGATGCTGCCACTCCGACAACGACCGTGACTGGTCTCTACCGCTACCCCCCAATCCTACACCTGCTCCCCAGTGTCAAACTTGCACCTGGTCACATTGGCAGCATGCTTTTGAAGTCAGGAAAACCCTCCAAGAGCCTCTAAAGACTCTGTGAAACAAGGTGCTCTTGGTCAGATCTTGCCTGCCTGCTGTCAGTGCTTCTCTCTTGGTAGAAATGTACATTAAGTACATGCTGGACCAGCAGAAATATGCAGCTACCGGTGCAAAACACCGCCAGACCAAGAGAAATCCAAAGCCAGCGGTAGGCGTGCTGAGTTTTTGCCGTTGCCTCGTCCGTCAGTGTGCCAGGTTCGTCGAGGGCCAGCGCACAATCGGCCAAACGTTCTCCGGCTTCGCTGCGTACTCTTACCCAGCAGGGGCGAGTCGAGAGGCTTCCCCATTTCTTCGCGACGTCCTCCGCCCTCCAAACATCCGCGGATTTGTAGGGCCCGTCAGACTCGTACATTGCTGAGGAAGCCGCCGGCACTCCAAACTCATAGGCGCAGCTGAGCTGCTTGTCGCCGTCTCGGTCCTGATCGCCCTCGAAGCTATGCTTCGGAACAGAAACAAGGGCCCAGGGCGCGTAGCTGAAAGTGCGTCGACGGTTGTCGGAGCCCGTGGCAAGGCGCCGGGCCGGTGTCTCCTCCGCCTTCTCCTCGCTCTCGGTCAGCTCCTCGTCCTCGTCTTCTACCTGGGAGTTAGGATTGGGGGGACCCTCAATTCGGTCCCTTTTAAGAGAGCCACAAGTAGGGTTCAGAAGGGTCCCCTTAATAGGGTCTCCCTACTACTACCTAGGACTACCACTTCGACATCCTGCGCCGCCTGTGGTTTCCGAAGCAAGCGCTGGGGGCCTGGATGCTGGAAGTCAAAATTCGCCAGCTCGGAGCATTTCTTCTTGTGAAGACTCGAAGCATTGTGCTTCCTCACAATGTCCAGGATGCCTTGAGGTGTACACCAACAGTGCTTCAAGCGCCACCCCAGCGCAGGATCGGCAGGGAAGGGCTTTCCGCTTTGGTCCGTCCCACACTTCCAAGATGAGTTGGAAGCCACTTTGTAGGCCTTTGCCGTAGCTGGAACCGTATATGCGAAGCCATTGAAGAGCTCCGAGGCGTACGTAATCTCCCCGTTGCATCGGCAAGTGTCCCCTTGCTTGGCACACCAGTAGGTGCCTGGACAGACTGCTATCTGCTCCGTCAGGAACACAGGTGGCTGCGAGGACGGCATTGCGCCCGCTACGTAGCCACCGCACGTGCTCCCAAACCGTTGTTTGTCGGCGCAGCTGACGCCAGAGGCCAGAACTTCGCAAGTCGTCTGCTGCCACATCGTGGGAACATCCCAGGCATTTGCCTTGTCATTGAGGTCTCCAATGTTGTGGACTGGGAAAACCGCAGCAAAGACACAGAGCCAGCCGAGGGCCGCGAAAAGTATGCAAAGTTGGGCTGACTTGTCACGATGAGGCAGACGCAGCCTCTCGCGAAGCCGCTCAAACCCCAACTGCAACTCATCCATTCCAGCTGTTGCGTGCTGCTGGACCGATTCCAGCCAGAGTGGCTGCGAGCGACTACGACCTAGGTTTATGACTATGACGACTTCTGCGACTACAATTACAACGACTACACACAAAAGGCCAGACCAAAACCCGAATCCTAAACCCTGTCCTCTCCGGTAGGCGACATCAAAGCTTCCATGACGTCGTTCCGAAGCTCTGGAAGCTTCGCTCGTGCATTGATGTTCACCTTCCGTTCCGAGGCAAAGGGCGGCAGGAAACAAATGCAATAGAGTGGCTTTAATGCTTGGCACGGGGTTTTTGAGTGTAGTATAGTACATCTAGACTGAAAAACTCTATGGCATAGTGTCAGTAGTTATTCAGGTCTCTTTAGTAAAAAGATGTAAAAGTTTGTAGGAGTTTCAGCAACTGATGGACAGCAAGCATCCTCGCTAAAGAGGTTTCTGGCAAGGAATATCTTATCACAAATCCCAGGCAAGGGTATGAGAGGGTCAACCTAGGTCGCGGGGACCTGCGTCAGACATGGAGAGGGCAGCTTCAAAACCTCGGCAGATTGGGCCTGGAACAGTTACAGGTAGAAGGGGGCCCCCGATCTCAGATGCAGTGAGAGGCTGTAATCTCCAACACAGATCCTGCTTATGGTTGATCAAACCTGTGGTTATGATCTGTGAGAAAAAGATGAAACACTGTCACCCAACAGCGGCCCATATTGGAGAGCGAAAATGCGAAGCGTCAACGATCTCAGCGGCAAAACAACACAAGGTCCTCAGAATATGGTTTCGGGGCAGTTTGCCGAGTTTGTCTGTCTGTCTATCTGTCTGTTTGTCTGTCTGTGTGTACGTATGCATGTATGTATGTACGTATGGATGGATGGATGTGCGTGTGTATATGCATGCATGCATGC